ATGAAATTCAGAATGCTCCTTAAGGGCGAAGAAAAATTCTGGATATACCGCAGCATAATGCTTGCAAATTTAGACGCTGCTTTAGCTATATTGCCATTAAGCTTTATAATAATTATAATAAATATTTTGTATCCAGCTTAGTTCTAGTATTTTAGACACAAATTAAGTTACATTTAATGGAATTATAAAAATCTCTGTCCTCAACGAATTAGTATTTTACCAATAATGAATTTTTCGACTCTCATTATAGCTTATTAATGTAAAATTCAGTTAGCGTTGAGTAGCTAAGAATAAGATCGTAAGCTAGACTTCGCCGTGTGTAACTATATTAGTTTGTATTAATTAATTTTGTCTAAAACTTGCGCGATAATTTAAAATATCTCAATTAAAACTATTATTATTATTATTTTACTATATTATTATATTCATTATTATTATAATAAAATATTCATTATAAAATTTTATATTTTCCGCTAAATCGTTTTCGCATTTACCTCAACGCGGATTAAATACAAATGGACTCCGTCCGTTTCTCGTTGGTTCATCGACACTGACCCGCCGCGACGGCCCCCCAAAAAAAAAAACCGAACCGCCGAAACTCGCACCACCCGAAATAGCATAGCCGGAAAAACAGACGCACGGTGCGTATATATACGAATGCGCGCGCGCCGCAGAAAGGACGCCAGCGATTCGACAGGATATCCGTATCCTTGCTTACATAAAAGCCTCCAAAACAGGAAAAGGAAACATATTATCACCGATTTTCAATTGCCATTATCGTTCCTATTCAGTATCGGTACAAATGCAAAAATCCTGCACGCGTTTTCTGACCGACGCCGTTTCGTTTTTCCGGCGACATTGTATACGCGATCGCGGCCCCGAAAATCGAAATTCGTCCGAGTTAAAGAGCTGCCCGCATTTCCAATCAATTTGAAGGGAAAAGACAAACCCAGCTGAGAATGCGGCCCCACTGAGTTTTATTTATTGTTTCATGAAAATGTCACATAGACATGTCAATAAAAATCGATGAAATTTTCAAATAAATTTATTGTTTGTGGTAAGTTTTCCCAGGATAACTCTACCTCAGTCTTCTAACTATCACGAGAGCTATCATATCTGTACTTGGTCAAAATGCAATAAGTATGATGATCTTGCGGGCCAGGAGAAGTAACAAGCGTCCCGGAAAAAATTTCTAGTGGCTGCAGCGGTATGTGATCTAGCATTTTACTGCTGAAAAATTAGATCCTAGAGGTGCTGAAGGCAGGACAGCGCAACATAATGGATGTTTTTTTTCGATGTATAGAACTTTAAGTTGGCATTACTGTTCAAGATGGCGACCGATTTAACACCTGTCAAGTGATTTATTCTCAGTTTGGTTTGGCAATTCATCATGAATAGACTCACGCCTGAACAACGCTTGCAAATAGTGCAATTTTATTTCGAAAATAATGGTTCTATGCGGAATACGTATCGCGCACTACGTCAATTTTATCGTCGACAAAATCGTCCATCAGAGCAGTTAATTCGATTAACCATGGAACGTTTTCGCACCACGTTTACTCTTATTGATTCCTCGCATCCCCAGAGACGCCGTACGGTGCGTACAGAAGAAGCTATTGCTGCTGTAGAGCATAGCATTGAGGAAGACCCGAATGAGTTCATCCGCCATCGAGCACAAGAATTGGATCTGTGTCCATCCACTTTATGGAAGATTTTGCGGAAGGATTTTGGTTACGTGCTTACAAAATCCAACTCGTGCAAGAATTGAAGCCAAACGATCACCAAGTAAGGCGTACATTCGTCGAATGGTTCCCGATTTTCATAAGAGAATTTTGTTTAGCGATGAAGCGCACTTCTGGTTGAATGGCTACGTTAACAATCAAAACTGCCGCATTTGGAGCGAAGCTAATCCTCAAGTGTATGTCGAAACACCGTTACATCCAGAAAAACTGACTGTTTGGTGCGCTTTATGGGGCTGGTGGAATCATTGGTCCGTACTTCTTCAAAAACGATGATGGCCAGAACGTTACAGTCAATGGTGATCGGTATAGAGCTATGATTACTACTACTACTGGAAGGCAACATTCGCCGTGTTATTGCCGATATACGGCCACAAATGTTGGAAAAAGTCATCGAAAATTGGACGTCCAGATTGGACTACATTCGCGCCAGCCGTGGCGGTCATATGCCAGAAATCATATTTAAAATGTAATGCCACAAGATTCTCTTTCGGATAAGTAAAATTCATGTCAATCGAATAATCTATCGTTGTTTTATTGAAACTTAAAGTTCTATACATCGAAAAAAAACAACCTACATAATATTTTGTTAATGTAATATGAAGCGTTCATGTTTCTGTCCAAAAAAACTATATGTTGCAACTGTTCTTACACTGTGGTCTAATTTTTTTCTGGTCTTTTCTCACTTCGCAGGCAAACTCTTCTACGAGTATGATAAGTAAGGTCACAAACAAAAAGCCTGACTCGTTACGATTCTACTATGTGCCAGACGTAGTGGATAATGGCAATACCAACTAAGAACAGTATGACTATAGCCCACAGGCTGTAATTATTGGAAAATTTGATCCCATCAATATCCGTCAACCCGTAGGTACCTTGCACTCGTTGTTTAATTTTAATTTTTCATAAAAAAAATAGACATTTTGTAGACAGTGTGTATTTGCTTAGGCAATTAATTTTTAAAAGTGCATTTAGAACTTTTTCAATAGCAATTATTGATCTGTTATTCACTTTTCCACAAGGTGACTTCAAAACTAACGAACGTTTGAGTAATTGGATTTCCCTATAAATATTTTTGAATAAGTATTATGCGCGGTACAAGCGTTAACGCAATCATTTTCGCTCGCTTTATAGCCGAAACATTAATATGATGTGGAAATAACCGATTAGGAGCACACTTCGGTGACAAGCAGGTTTTTAAAAAAGAAATTTCTCTACATCGCATTTAATTTCATATGGTATATCGTGCATATGAACGAAGAACTTCTTTTAGCAATGATTTAAATGAATTGACGAATGCCACAGACGAAACAAAATAGCACAATTATCGATAATTCGGTAACAATGATGTCATTTCTATCGCATTAAAAATTCTGAGAACCCGGTTATTACGCAGCCGGGATGTCAATAACCAAAAGAGGAAATTGACGATTAAAAGCGAATCGAGGATATTGCATATGTACTTATCTATTACAATCGCATTTTATGAAGAAGAGATTACGAATCAATTCCAACAACTGCCAAACGAAATCGAGTGTATTATCACTCTCTGTTATCTCGTAATCAAAAGCCACCTGGGCACCTACTACGCACAAGCAAGCTGACGTTTAAGCGACAAATCTGGAATATTTCAATTTAATTTATTTCTGAAAGGAAAACATACAAAACAGGACTTTTTAAACTTCAAAAAGCTGGGGCGTTTTTTGATTTCTATGCTGTATTTTTGGAAAGGTAATTTTTGAAAAATTAAAAATATTATATTTATTGGCACTACTATATTTTAACGCGAAAATTTGAAACGGTAACAAAAATCCATGTTCGGTTTTTACCATTTACAAGACATTAATTTTCTGTTCTATATAAGTTTGGTTTATAATTCAAAAATAGAAAACATGTAACCAAAATTATCTAAACCACTGTAATTGAAGGATAAGTTAATGATTGAAGATATCCTATCCAAACTAACCAAAACTAAAGAGGTTATGAAAATAGTTTTACAAAAAGTAGCACGCTGTCGCGAAAACCGCTAAAAATAACCGAGGTGCCCCCAAAAGTACGTCATTTAGAAAGAGGAGTTCCCTTGTAAAAGTATCCAGTTTGACACGCCAGCTTTTGTATCTATATTTTCTGTATCTAATAATAAAACTAGATGGTGACCGTAGTTAAAGTTGATTTTTTTTTGTATTCTGTATTCTAGAGTAAGATCAATTCAAACCAATTGGTAACCGATAATCTAACGGGATATATAGTAATAAAAATATTAAGTATTTTTTCCCAACCTAGTTTTAAATCTGAGAAAGGTTTACTAATAGCATTTTGTTAGCTGCCTTCGAGTACCGACAAAACTTCTAAGTTCAATAACAGTTGCTTTACATAAATGTTGAATGTCATTGCGTCCGCGGCTGGGCCATATTTTAAAAAATAAACGTGACAACAAAATTTGAAAAAAAAAAACAAGTCAAACAGCAAAGACACAACAATCATAAAAAATATTTTTATTTACACCTATGCACTGGTCAAGCATGCGCAACGCGTCACTCCCATTAAACACCATTCCGACCCATTTCCTACTTTAGTCACTGGTAAGTAGTGTTGGTATTGTCATTCATGAAAGTCGTATTAATGAGTGACTTAACAGAATTCTAATTGTATAAAATAATCTTTGGAGGTTAAAAAATTTTAATGAAAAGGTAATTTCAAGAAGTAAACTTAACTGAACATTATTAATTTCAAAAATCAATGCCATGTAAAATGTATGGGGAATGGTATGCGTTATACATTATTGTTAGCGTCAAATCCGCATTCATATGGTCTTCCTTTTTCTCGGTCAATTAAAGATTTAGTGAACGAATATTGATTAGTAGTAATATAGTTACTACTTTGATGTTTATAAACAATTATAAACTTTATGCCACATGTATTAGATTTTGAATTGAATTGCATTACGTGAATGTGTTAAAATCGATGGGTGAACACATCAACCATACATTATTCTTTACTTAAGTGCGGAAGATTTTTCTATTGATATAAACATTTTTTTTCAAATGAGTTTAAGTCAAGCTCTGAAGAAGCCAACAGGATTATTGGCGAAACGTCAGCAATTTCGACTAAGCAAAAACCGACGCAGGAGGAATCCAGAAGTGTTGTAAAATGCATGATTTAAACATCTTCATGTCGAAACTCGATTTTATAGAATTAAAATCAAATATTGGGTAAGCACATATAAACATAACGTCCCAAAATCTAAGACGAAAAATTTACCTTTGATGCTCCAAGACAATGCGACGCGTCGAAAAAAATCAAAGCTCCTCTCGGATCTTCAAAATAAAACCGAAATCTATAAAAGCGCGAACTGATTCTGACACACTGCGACTACGACGTCTGAACCCAACCGCCACGTGCAGCAGACTGACAGTTGTTTAAAAACAAAACGAACTCGGCAGCGTGATACTCGAACGTCGGTCATGATGGTGGGGATGAGACTTCTGCCACGAGCGACCGGGCTCGATGGACCGCATATTTTCGTTCAAAAAACCGCCCTGTCGAGGAAATTGGGGGTGTAACGGAAACGCAGATGGGTCCCGATCTTCTACGAACCGGTAGTTTGCTATATTTATTCTTTCGTAGTTGGCCGGCGAAAAGAAGCATCCATCGACTTAGCGACGGTGAACAGACAATCGGAATAGGCCGCTGGGAATTTCCGCGGCCTACCGCGACGGGATCTCGCCTTTCGCATGTTAAACGATTCACACGAAAAATTATAACGAGAGTTTTTGTTCTCGATTCCGGTGGTTGTTGGTCGAGGAAACGTGAACAGATTTTCAAACGCGAAAGTAGGAAATACCGCAACGCATATCGAGTTTCGTCGCGGAATTTTACCTACTTTGTAATATTATATGGCAGAGAAGGCTGCTGCTGCTATTGCCCGACACACTGTTGAAAAAATACAAATTTTTAGTCAATTACAAATTATATAGAATATCTAAAGTTTTAGGGCCAGTCCCATCCAACCTGAACTTAAATCTGAAACGACTAGGGGACAACTAACTTTTAGGGACAGCTAGTTTCTCGACTTTCCATTGCTAATAAATAAAGGGTGATTCAATAAGAGTTTCCACATTAAAATAATAAAAATAACTCGGAAGAATATAAAAATATACAAACATTTTTATTTGCCATTTTAGATTAGTGTATTACAATTAGGTATGAAAGATGACGTCATTCAAATGACCCCAGCGACTCATGTGGCATGACGTAATTCGTTTATTGAAATTTCTTTTTGACACAATTCAGGTTCTATGCCGGCTATTTCGCGTCTAATCTCCTGTTTCAACTCTGGAATAGTGTTTGGTTTATTTCTATACGCTGTGCTTTTTAGATACTCCCAAAAAAAAATCTAGGGAAGTAAGATCACATGATCGCGGCGGCCAATTGATATCGCCGTTACGTGAGATAATCCGACCAGGAAACTTGCCCCGCAGCAATTGCATCGTTTCTCTGGATGTGTGACAAGTGGCTCCATCCTGTTGGAACCACAAATCTTCAATGTCCATACCTTCCAACTGCTCCCAGAAAAAATCATATATCATGTTTCGATAGCGAACACCATTAACCGTAACAGCGTTCTCCGCATTATCCTCTAAAGAAAAAGGGCAAATTATTCCTCCCCACCAAAATGCGCACCAAACAGTCACTTTTTGAGGATGCATTGCTTTTTGAACAATCTCTCTTGGATTTTCTAATCCTCAAATACGAGCATTGTGTTTGTTTACAAAGGCACCAACGTGAAAATGTGCCTCATCGCTAAAGATGATTTTCGTTGAAAAATGAACCCCTTGTTCTCGTATCCATTCTGCAAACACTCGGCGCTATTGATGATCTCGAGGTTTTAACTCCTGAGTTATTTGAACTTTATATGGGTGTAGATGCAAGTCTTTTGTTAAAATTCGCTGTGTGGTTGAATACGTAAGGCCCACTTGCTGCGATGCATGACGAATCGATGTGTTTGGATCTTCGGCTACACTTTCGCGGACAATGGCAATATTTTGATCTGACCGACCTGCACGAGCACGTTGAGGGACTTTGAGGTTACTTACAGATCCAGTTTGCTCAAATTTTTGAACCACATTCCAAATTGTCCTCTCAGAAGGTCTATTTTTCGCGCGGAAAAATTCACGTAGAGCCAGAAATGCATTTTTTCTTGATCGACCATTTTCATAATAGGCTTGCACAATTTTTACACGTTTTTCAGTCGTATATTGCTCAATAACTAATTTTGTTTATGTTTTGAGGTTAGAAATCTCATATGATAATAAGCAAATACAGTGGCGTTTCAAAAATATTTCAGACTGTAATGTGGAAACTCTTATTGAATCACCCGTTAGTTTACGAGTTGTTCTCAGATGTAACATCCCAGGACATATTTAACACGGAGTTGAAGTATGTCTCCTGTTTGTACCGCATTGAGCATTTATTATCTATTATTATGTCTGTATTCACTTCGCACTTATGAAAAGCATAGTATGTGAGTAGCAAAATATAAAACTTGTTAAGAGAAGTGAAATTGTTCACTCTCAACTCACACCTCTTTCAAAAATCCCAGTCATTCAAAGAATATGTGTGATTACCGCAGTAAACTAATCAACCAAACCAACATTACAGAATTATACCAGAATTGGGGGTATCTTCTTAAAACTTTAAAAGCGACATTTATTAACTTCGTTTTGACCGTCAAATTCTCAATAATTCACAAAATATATACAAAATGTTCTTGAGTAATTTAAAATAATAAAATTTTGAATTAAAATATTAAATATTTCTGGGATTCTAGTTTTTTTTAAGCTTGAATTTGGCATCGATATATCTATATGCACGGCCTACTTACACAAGAACAAAAAATCGCTCATATCTCCGCCATTTTTCATGAGAGATAAGAACAACAATAATTGAAAAGGACTCAACAGGAGCTTTTTTTAAGATCACATAAAATAAGAAAGTTGTATATGTGGGATGATGGAGAATTATAGAAAAAATTTACACTACTACATGGTAAAAAGACACTAATGATGTTTTATCCGAATCAGCAGTTTTTTGAAAAAATAAAATAGTTATCAAAATAAATAATAAGTAAAATAGTTTGTCAAATATCAAAAATTTAAAAACGCCCCATATCCCGGTCAGGTGTGAAGATTCTCCACACAGTATTTACAATTTCATATTTCTCAAAAACCGAGCCGATAAATGTAAGTCGATTTTGGTCTATCTAGTTTAGAAATAGGTTTTGCCTTTTAAATCGTTCAAATTAAAAGCACGCCATACCACGGAACTGGGTTTAATATGTCACGCGATGATTTTCGCGGAATTATCGAACAGCAGGTTATCGACGTAAAAAATGTCTTTAACAAACATCTTCCTGGACAGACTTAGGCCTTTTTGTCCTCGCATCGCCATTCAGGTACCGCGGTCATTATGCACTTACAAGACTTATTTCCCAAATAAGGAAGATGGTTGTTAGTTTCTTAAAAGACTTCCTGCTTTGTGGGCCTTTTGTTGTCCGCGTTCAAACCTTTGACGCCCGAAAAATCACAGGTCGAGAGTAAGGTTCGAGCAATGTGGAAAAATGGTCAATCGTAGCTGACTGATTACGTATTCCGCAATAATTATAGACACCGGGAATTTAATGGAATATCTACTTTGAATATAACATGAATTCGTTATGTTAAAGTGCAAATTCATTATATCTCCGCTAACAGCTTTCGTTATATTCATATGACTTCACTTGAAGGGATTTGACGGATCTTCTTTACAGTATTTTGAGGAAACTGAGAGAAGAACCTTTGAAATAAAACGGATTTATTTTTGTGATATTTTATATTTTCCCACATTTCTCACGTTGTGGATGTGTTCATTTTCTGTTGAATGAAACAACGTATGAAAAACATATCAAAACATCTACTGGTCAAACAAAGAAACAAATCAACAAAATGATAGCTTTGAGGTACATTTTTTTGAAACCCACATGACTAATTGGCAAGCTAAGTTGATATTTACATCATTACGGAGCCAAACAAAGGTTGACCCATTGACCCATTTTAATTAAAACTACTAAATGGCACTAGGTGATTTTCTAATTGCCAGAAATCGCATAATAATAATTTAATTTACACTTACAAAGCCAAATGGATAGTTTTTTTCTAGCAATTAGACAAAAAAACAATACTATTTAAACTATTTAAACTTTGCGCCCGAAAATATTGAATTTAAAGATAAAGAAGAAACTAAAGTCAAACTAAGCGGCATTTCATCAAAACAGTTTTATGATATGTATAAGCAGTTATACCAAAAATTATACATACATGATATCTACATAAAAAATACAGAAAAAACAGAGATTCAAAACTAAAATAAAATGTAAATTATATATGAAACATGTATAAAATATGTATATAAATGTCTGTATTCTCACTTTTTAATACATATTATAATATTCACTTCTGAATTTTTGAATTGTGTTACGTGCTGTGTGATCTTGGGTAGTCTCTGGTTATAAATTTTCTTCAGCATCAAAACCAACCATCTTGAAACATTTTTTTATGATTGCCTTGAAACATTTCCAAGTTCTCCCTCCAAAATATTTTTTTTATCGCGGGATTCGAGTAATCAAAATGAAGGATATAGCAGAAAAACACACGATTTGTAAGAAGACACAACACCACATTCAAAATGAAAAATCTGATTTTGACCACCTTTTGGAGCAACATAATTTTTTAAAATTAAATTCCCTTTGCACCTTGTAATCAGGGCCGGTTTCAAAGTTCTCACATGAAGTTGACTTATTTCGCTACTCCCATTGTTGTATATAAAAATTAAACACTCTTCCTCTGTATTACCGGGTAAGCAGAGTGCAAACTCAACTATCAAATATATGTTTTTAAGCCGCAGTTGCTTTTTTGTACAATTATCAAAAACTTCAAGGCATCGGACACAAACATCGTTAGCTCTGCCACCCTTCCAACTTTTCATTGGTTACAAATTCCTTTTTTAAAAATATTTCGTCAAATAGTTCATCTTCATTTATTAATATATCATTTTACAATAAAATAGTTTGTATCCCGGGTTGAATTTCTAAGCAATGTGGAATTGCGACGTTGCCAATGTTTATAAATTTTCTATGAGGTCAAATATAACTACATTGAAAAATCCGGGACAATCCAGGACGAGTAGATTTTCCAGGACGTTGTCGGAAAAACCTTAACCTGTACCGGCCAATCCTGTACGGTTGTTCAGCCTATTTAGTTGCAAAACCATGCCTTATTAGTTTTGGTTAGTTTCTAACCAAAATTAACCAAAACAATAACATAAGTCTGACAAATTTATAGTTGGAAAAACAAAATGATCTTGTTG